ACAATTTTAGAAAGAGTGATAATATCATTGCAACTCTAGACCACCACACTGACACACTCTGACACACTCAGACAGCCAACCACACGGCACTTAGTTGGGGCCCAGCAAGAGACCAAACCAATGGACAAGTCAGGTTGCCCTCTCTTTTTTTTTTTTTTTTTTTAAAGATTTTATTTTTTTCCTTTTTCTCCCCAAAGCCCCCCGGTACATAGTTGTATATTCTTAGTTGTGGGTCCTTCTAGTTGTGGCATGTGGGACGCTGCCTCAGCGTGGTTTGATGAGCAGTGCCATGTCCGCGCCCAGGATTCGAACTGACGAAACACTGGGCCGCCTGCTGCGGAGCGCGCGAACTTAACCACTCGGCCACGGGGCCAGCCCCTCAGGTTGCCCTCTTGACCTCAGTTCTGTGTAATCTTGGGACATCACATCATTTCTTTGGAGCCTCATTTCCTTCCTCCTGCTATTCATTGAACTATACTAAACACCAGCTACACACCAATACTCTGGGTGCTGGTTAAGAACTGAGACTCAGGAGTCAGACCACCTGGAGTTTGTATCCTGGTTCTACCACTGACTAGTTGTGTGATCTTGAGCACCTTAAAGATCTCTGTGCCTCAGTTTCCTCATCTGTAAAGTGGGGATAATAATAGTTCCCATCTCATAGGAACTCAAAGAGAGAGAGGAGATGTGATGACAGAAACAGAAGTTGGAGTGCTGCCTTTTGAAGATGGAAGAAGGGGCCACTAGCCGAGGAATGCAGGCAGGCTCTAGAAGCTGGAGAAGTCAAGGAAACAGATTCTCTCCTAGAGCCTCCAGAAAGAATGTAGCTCTACTGACATCTTGATTTTAGCCCATAATACCCATTTGGGACTTCTGATCTCTAAACTTTAAGAGAATAAAAATTTGTGTTGTTTTCACCACTGAATTTGCTAGAGCAGCAATTGGAAACTACTACGCATGCCTTGGGTCACATGTGCGATATTTCACAAAACCTCTTGTTTTCACAAAAGCCACTTGTTAACTCATTATGACTCATGTCCCGACTTCCCAAAAGAGGTGAAGTGAAAATTTAAGCTTCCAGAAGGAAGTGTTCACTTTGAGGGAACTGGCCTCTCAAATGGCTCCTGCTGTTCCTCACTCTGACAGAATTAGCCTCTCTGAAACAATGAAGCTTGGTTAGGGAAGACTAGAACAGCCTGCCAAGCACCAGACAAAACCAACAGCTCACAGACTTTCTGGAAGAGCCTCAAAGTACCAGGACCCAACCGTTAATAACAAATAATAGTATCACTTTACGTGTGCACGACTTTTTGTGGTTTTTGTCACATTTATATACACTGCCTCATTTTGATTCATCCAACTTATAGAAACAACTTGCTCAAAACCACATCCTCAGAAAGTGACAGATCCAGAATTTAAGCCCAGTCTTTTGACTCTAAAGCCAATTTTCTTTCCCCTCTAGCAGAATACAACTTTGTTCTTACCGTCATGGATGGGTGACTGAGACAACTATGGATCCCCCCTAACACTTACTCTATAACTGGTGTGACACTTCCTCACCCACTCATTCCACCCTGCTTTTCAGAGGTAACCATTCCAACTGGCCTATCGACAAGTTAGCTTCATCTTCTACAGACTGAGACCCAAACAAATGGCAGGCAGAATGGGGGAGCAAAAGGGAAAGAAAAGACAGAGAAACTAGATGAAAGGGCTAATCCAGACAACAGATCAGTCTACTCTTCCAGGAAACAGAGCCAAACTTTGTTAGAAATCTATTTCTTGGAGGCAGAGCCTGGAAAAAGAACCATGGTTTGGACTGGGAATCACAGACTAGCTATTAATGGTTGTTAGTCTTGAAAATTCACTTCATCTGCTAGTCTCATTTTACTCATATGTAAGAAAAGGGAGTTGGACTAGATAAGCTGTCCTAGAAATCCCCAGCTATATAGTTCTGAGATTCGACCTCTGCAGGGTTTTTCTGAGCAGGAACTCTATTTCAACAGGGATACCTGAGTCATCCTGAACCAAGGACAGGAATATGATATGAGCTTCTTCACCCTGAAGCAAAACCTATCTGCCCTCATACGTGACTCTCAAGTCAGGAGCAAGTGATTACTATTATGCAGTTAAATATTAGGAATAGTCTAGGATATGAACAATAACTAACATTTCTTGAGCATCTATATCTATCTACACTTTCTGTTATCTACAGCTTTCACAAAGTATTTTGTTCAGGACACGGTTCATCTTCACATCCTTTTGGAGCCCATGAAGAACCATCACTCACCAAATCACCTAAATTTAAAACTATATGTTCTGTGTTTACATTTTCAGTGTCTACCAACTCTTAGAAATTCAGTTCCCACAAACATACAACCTATCATGTCAAGTACAACTTCCTTTTATTTGGGGTAAATGTACTTTCTCTAAGTTTGATTCAGGTACCCCTGGTTCAAGGTCTTCTGCTTGTTTCCTCCTCTATATTCTTTCCTCTATCATTCCTGTCAAAGCACCCGATAAACCTATCATCCATTCATATTCCACACCTCCCCACTTATGTCCAAGTTGTAGGTGAGTGCAGACAGACCCAAGTGTGCAGAACAACTTGCAATGACTTAGAAGACTAGAGAAAACCTTCCCTCAGGTACACAGAAGTTGCTCCAGCCCCTGACCACCAGCCATCTCTTGAATCTTGATGTCTTACAGGCAGAGCATAGACCCCAGCACTCCTTGGTGAGTCATTTCTGATGGAGAGCGGTGGTTGCAGGAGCTTGCTGGAGAGAGGAAATTACAGAAATGAGCTCAGTGCATGGCAGGCTGAGATCTCAGCATCCTGACACCGAAAAGGGGAGAAACTGAGAAGGTTTCTCAATGATCTATCCACAGCACTTAATGCACTGACTGGCATGCAGTAAGGATCAGGAAAGATTTGTTGAATAAAGAAATGAATGATGGTTCACTCCTGCAAAGATAATCAGGTGACCTTGCCATGTTTTCCAGTGAGGACAGGTAAGTTCGGATGTGATATGGATGGGGGTGCGAGGCTGGTACTGAGGTAGGGATGGGGGAGGCAGGTAAAATCTGTAAGTGGAAATTAGCAGTGGGGGAGGGCAGATGATTCTTACATCAGAGATGCCAGATACTCCGCCTATTCACAGTCAGATCTCAGTCAGCAGTCTCAGTTTCAGAAAGCAGATCACAGCTCTCTGTGCAGAGCTGTCAAAGAGCTAGGCAGGATCTCAGGATCCTGGTCCTCAGGAATCTGGAGGAGCTGGAGAGGATTACCAGAAAACCTAAAGAGAGGCTTTGGAACTTTTGGGAACATCTCATTCACAACCAACAATTTTACTCACTTGGGAAATGCATAAGAAAGAAACATTTTGTTGACCCGAATCTTTTTCATGAAATTCTATTCTTCCAGAACATCTCTCCTTTTGTTCTTTTCCTGACTCTCAAGCCATTCCTCTTGGCCTCTGTCACCTGTTCTTTTTCTCTACCCACCAGCTTGTCCCCTAAAATTCTATCCTTGGGAGTTGGCTTCTTTCCTTTTCTTTTACACTCTGCCTGGCTTGTTACACCTACTCTCATGCCTTCTACTACCATCAATTCCCAAATCTATATTTCTAGCCCAAATCTCTCCTCTGAGTTCCAGATCCCCATTTCCAACTGCATCTTTATCTACATGTTTATAGAACCTAAAACACATCTCAAACCAAACTTGTTGCCTCATCCTCTAAATCATCCCATCTTCTGTGAGCTCTATCTTGGTTAATAATGTCTCCACCTTTCCAGTTTCCCAAGCTGGAAATCTTAAGTTATATTTTTGCTCCCCAACTCTTCACACCCAATAGATTTTAAATCTTGTCAATTCAATTTCAAAAATGTCTCTAGAATCTGGCTCTTAAACTTAATCCAAGCCCTATGAATCTTTCACCTGGACTATTACAACCAGCTCCTAACTGGCTTCCGTGTCTTGTTTTTCTCTGCTCCATTCCATTCTTCATACTGACTTCTCTGCTTAAAACGTTATTCTCCATAACCTCTAGGAAACAATCTGGCCCCACCTAATTTCTCTACTCTCATCTCTCCCTACTCCTCTTCTGTCTCCTTGCCACCAATCCCCAGCCTCCATGTGCCTTATGCTCTGAATTTCATGCTATTCTGACTGAAACGCCCTTCCCTCTTCTATGCCTAGAAAAATCTCTATTCATTGTTTAAGGTCTGCCTTAACTGTCACCTCTTCTGCTTTCCCCAACCTTCTCAAGTTGCACTAGTTGGTTTTTCTCGGCCCCACAGAGCTTTTTCAAACCTCTACTATGGCACTAATTGTATTATTATATCATGTTTATGGTTTATACGTCTTTCTCTCTTGAAGAAGGCTGAGCTCCTGGAGAAAAAGGACAGTCTTCACATCCCTAACAAGGTCCTGGCATAGAGTAGGCACCCAGTATCTGCCCAATGGAAGAATGATTAATAATGTCACATCTAAAGTTAAGCCTAACTATGGACCAGGTGTTTCTTTTGGTAGCCAAAAGATCTCTTCTTTCTAAGCCGGATAGTAACGTAGTACCTAAGGTACTCATTTAGTTGATGGGGGTGGGGGTGGGGGTGTCATGGTGAGACAGAAGGTGGGAGGATCACGAGCAAAATGATTCAAGAAACCCAAGTCTAAATGAAAATCTGCCTCTATCTGACACCTGTGGTGTGATATTAAATCATGTGACCTGTCTACTGAACTTCCCAAACCCCTATCTCTCAAACTCAAGAAGAGTATTGTTCTTATTTGCACTTTAAATTTACTTTAGGGCTTCTGTCTGATTAGCCTCCCCATCTCTCATACATACTACATTTATCTCTTGCATCGCAATTACCACATTTTATCATAATTTTCTATCTTCCACACTAGATTGCCAGTCCCCTGAGGGCAGAGATTATATCTAATTATCTTCGTGGTCCCAACTCCTATTATCATAGGCTGTAACAGCTGCCCATAAATATGGGGTGAAGAGTCTATACGTTAAAAAAAAAAAAAAGTTGGCATTAGCCAGGGAAGTTGTCATGGACGTAAGACAAACACAATGTTGCGTTTTTTTTTTTCCTCTTGTCTTGTTCTTCAAAGATTTCAATTGTCAAGATATGTTAGAAGAGACTCTAAAGTCCAAAGCTCACTCTCTACACCTTGCTTCCTTCACAGGGGAAGCTTAATAAGGCTGAGGAAGAAGACAAAGGGAGAGAGAAGAGAAAAAGAGAGAAAAGGGGCGGGGCGAGGAAAGCCAAAGGAAGCCAAGTACTGTGGTTAAGCTGGTTTTCTAGGACGGGTAAAATCTGATTAGGCAAACAGAGGTGAAAGGATGGGCAGGCAGGCAATTTGAGGACAGGCTGATTAAGAAGTGAGACAGCAGACACCACTGGTTCGGAACGCCAGCAACCCCGTGTAGTTCTGCATGTGTTTGTCTGTGTTTAAACAGACTGTACACAGAAACGGCCAGTGGAGGAAGATTTCTTTCCTACTCTAAGTGCATCCTACCCAAGATGAAAGAACAAACATTTAGAGAGCAAATGCTTGCAGTAAATATTTTTGAAGGGGGCACAGTCAATACGGAAGTAGGATTCTAAACAGTCCGGCTACCTGATTCATGGAGAAGGTTTATCTAACAAAATCGGAAAAGAAATCTGAAACATTCGGCTGCCTCTGGCCATCTGTGCTGTCAGCTTCCCCTTGGCATTTTCCGGACTGCTGTGAGCTGTTAGGGCTGTGTTTCTTTCAGCTTCCCACTGTGTGTGGCAACAGCCCTGGTCCTGGTGGAGTTCATTGCTGCTGTTGCTTTATGTACAAGAATGTTTATGTTTCCACTGGGGCAACGAACACAAAGGGAATTGTTACACAAACACCTGGTGACTTGCAGAAGGGAAAATGTCCCTTTAATTAAAAAGATGCCCATGAGCAATTTATCTCCCCCAGGGGCTGGGCTCAAGGCAGTAACTTCCTCTCTTATTTGACTAGCACTTTGGTTGTATTTTGCAAAAAAAGCACATTATGTACCAATTTGAAAATTATATTAATGCATATTAGTTAAACGACTCCCCACCACTGTAATTGCCTCATATCTTTCTTTCTTTTCATTTATTTACTCTCTAGAATATCAACAGTCCTGAAGAGTTTTCTTTAAAGAGAGAAGAATTTGACAATAAAGCACTGGGGAAAATCAAATAAAAACAAAAAAGTCAAACACTCTGGAACAGAAAAGCAGACATGAAGCAGTGAAAACATCTTTGTGCTGTCTCAAAATGCTTGTCCATGTCACCTCTGAGTCACCAGAACTGCAAGGGACCTGAAGGGGACTTCAACTCCTTTTACAGCTGGGGACACTGAGGCGTGAGGAAGGAAATGGATGTGTGTGCGTCCAAACAGCAATAAGTGAGAGCAGAGCAAGAGCTCAAAGCCAGGGTCTGAAAAAAGGTAAACCAAGTTTGACTTCATGTGTGATACCAATGGGCTACCTGTGGGGTGTGAGCCAAATGCAAAGCCTTTCAACTCTCTGTAAAGCGTTATTTACCCAGGCCAAGAAGAGGCACACCTGTTTCTCAGAGGGTCACTGTGGAGGATTTACAGCCAGCTAGAGAGAGGGGCTGACTTCAGAGCACCAGCTAGTGAAACTTGACAGTCACCTTTTTCCTCCTGAAAATTGCACAGAATTTAGTAGAAGGCTATGCACATAGTAAGAGCCCAGACAACTTCCGGAAGTTCATGTGAAGCACTTCACCATAGGCTTCATCCTCGTAATAGCAGGTGGCAAAGAACACGACTGCAAAGTCACTGGAAAACGACAATATAAGCAAGACGGACCAACAAGAAAGGGGATCCTCTATCCCATACCCTGAGCCCCTGACAGAAGGTCCAGAGGACTCAAGCAGCTGCTACATCTATCCATCCTTCCTCTAGGGAACAGAAAACCCAGAGATTCTCCCATGAGCCTGTAGGTAACACCTGGGTAACACCCAGTAGCCTGTAGGAAAATCCTCCAATGAAGAAGACAAGGGCTTTCAGTCCTGATGGGGACCGTGGGCATCTCATTCTCCCAAAAGCAACTCTGTGTCCTGCTGGGGCTGTGCCCATCCCAGGGCAGAGGAGCCATTCTTGAGTGTGCTTTTCTTTTTTCCTCTCCAGGGCTGGAGTCTGATTCCATTTGAGACTAATCAGAAGACAACCACAGGCCCTCCTTCAAATCCCCAACCCCGGCCATTTACAATAGTCAGCAGCTTGGGCGGCACTGGCTCTGCTCTGGGTCTGTTTCCACTCAGCCTGGCACCCCTTGGGGAGCTCTACAGAGACAGAAGTGCAGGGGAACAGAACTGAGGTGCTGAGGGAATGCTTCAGTCAACCTCCACCCCACACTCACTACTTTATGTCCACAGCCAGTGAGGAACCGGGAGATGTAAACGTGGAGGGCAACTCAGGAACCAGGCAACAAAGAGAGCCTACTGAATAAGTCACCATTGGAGGAGCAGTAACACCCACCTCCTTATTGAAGGCTTACAGAAGGCCCGGCACACTCCAATTGTGTGCATGGAACAGCGCCCTTGGCCCGCACAACAGTCCTTCGAGGTAGGTACTGTTATTGTCATCATTTTATAAATGGGGAAACTGAGGCTTAGTGTGTTCAGCAACTGCCCAAGGTCACCCAGCAGGTAAGGGACAGAGCTGGGATTGAAATCCAGGCTGTCCGAACAGCTGCCACGAGTTTAGACTCTTGCGTATCAGGCAGATAATGATGGGGTCTCTTTAGTCCCTGGCGGCCCAAGTGGAGGGACACCACCTCTCACACACACACCCCAGATGCCTGCTGGGATGGGGGTGGCACTGACAGCTCCAATCGGCAGGAGAACAGCTGGTGGGAGACATGGGATTCCCTAGGTTTGCTGTCTCTCTGAGAAGCAAAGCCTTTAGCTCTGAGAATTATTGTCCACTCTGAAAAGTAGCTAGAGTTTGAGGTGGCTGAGGGCATAGGGTGGGGTGGTGACAGAAACCACAGGACAGTGTCATAGGAAGGACGCTCTTCACTCTCTGTGGCACTTAATCTTCTGAACCTCAGTTTTCTCATGAAATTACCAACGTCTGAGACTTGATAGTGATTATGTATATAAATCTGCTTTGTAATCTCTAAAGTGGCCTAAAAATCTAAGGTAATATTAGGGCATAGAGGGCAATTTTCCTAGAAGCAGTGTGCAAGTGGTTGTAATTACATGAGTAGCACATTCAAAAATTGTACATCAAGATCTACTCAGCAATAAAAAGAGACAAACTACTGATACATGCAACATCACGGAAGAGTCTCAAAATTATTAGGTTGAAGAAAAGGAGCCAAGTAGGCACAAGAGTATGCACTGTATGATTCCACTTCGATGCAAGTCTAGAAAATGCAAACTAATCTACAGGGACAGAAAGCAGTCAGTGATTGCTCAGAAATAGGGGTGGAGAAGGGATGGACTGCAAAGGGGCACAAGGAAATTTTTAGGGGTGACGGCCATACGTTGTGTCTTGTGGTGGTGATTCCAGGGGCATATTCATTTGTCAAAACCGATCAATCTCTAGACAGGTTTAGTTTCTTGTACATAAATTACATCTCAATAAACTTTATAAAACACACATATCAAGGTCTTTCCCTTTGATCCAGGGCCTCTGTGTAAGCTGGAAAGTTCACTGGACTTGTTGTTTCAGCCCAAGGCTGTCATGGCAACATGGCCCCACGCAGGGCAAGTCCCTGAACTCCTCCGGGCCTCAAGTCTCCACGTCTTTAAAACGAGGCTTTATCATGTGCTTTACCTCACAGGACTGCTGTGTTGATCAAGAGGGATATTTGGTACATACGAGAGCAATTTTTCAGCTGCAAAATAACACACAAATGTAAGGGAGGGTTGTGTGGGCGTATGGTCGTGATGGGTAGACTAGAGACTTCCTTGCTCTGCCCACCCATAAGATCCCTTCGGCTCCAAATGGGCCACGGGTTTGTCTTCTCTTTCTCCCCAAGGTCCCTGGGAAAGCAGCTGCAGTCCCCATCTAGAACGGGCCATAATTCAGAGACGCTGAGTTGACCGAGTAGTTTCAGGGGATCCAATGTCAAGCACCAGATAAGCTGTAGAAGGCCAGAGAAACTGGATACTTTAATTCATGGGCTCTGCAAGATGCCTCCCAATTCCTCGTGTAGCCAGCTTTTAGCTGTTTTTATCCTTGGGCTGTGAGGCATAGCCAATGCAGCTCACTGTCCAAAGCAAAGTTGAAGGTGCTTATTCTAGCTCTTTCCTTCTGCCACTGTCCTGCTCTTTAATTAGGTGTTGTTCAAATATTCTCAGAAGAAAAAAACGACAACCTAACAGCACACGTAAATCCTGGCTGGAGACCTCAACCACCATCTCACCTCCCGACTTTTCTTCCAATCCAACACAGTAACACCATAATCAAACCTCGCATCTAGATTATAGTTTTAACTTTTCCAAGTCCTTTCCTGCCCATGACCTCATTCTGTCCTCACAAAGCCTCACGGTTACACAGGACAGGTACTGCCATGCACAGAAGCTGATCAAGATACTGAGGAAAAGGGTTGAACAGAAGACCTAAAAGTTTCAAGTGTCAGTCAGAAGCTGGACAAGAATTCGGACATCGCACCCCTACCACAGCATCCTTTCGCAAGATTACATCTCTCAAAAGTAGGAAACATTCAAAGCCATTTGCAGTAGACAAAGTTCTAGCCACAGGCAGCCTCAAACAAACAGAACCAAAGCAAAACAAAAGGCCTGAGTGGTACTAGCCCGGATCCTCAAATTCCGTTGTTCAGTGACTTGCTCCCACATTGGCCTCAAGCTACAGAAGAGATAAGAGAGACAGCCTTCATTTCCCCAGAAACCACAGCGGCCAGGAGGGGGATGGTAGGAAATCGAGTTGGGTTACTCAAAGCCACAGCTCCATCAGAGTTCCTGTCCTGCTTCTCCCGGAGATGGGCAGCCCCTCTCCAGGGCCACAGGCATCCTTGTCCTCAGGCCTTAAAGCTGGACACACACTCTTCCTCTTCCTTCCAAGCTACCTCACTCTAGTCCTGACGAAGCTAGACCTTTATTTTTAGAACTTTAGGAACAAGGAAGAGCTAACAGGCATAGAAAGAAAAAGGAACGGATCGGCTATTTTGGCCCCCTGAAAGTTTCCTTGCCGAGGCCTCCCTAACACCTCCTTACCTTTTGCGCACACACACACACATACACACACCCCATAAACATCATCACTTCTCAATCCTTCTCCATGTGGCAGCTTCTTCTACAGCGGTGTCTACGTTGGACCAAGGTCGTGGGATAGGATGGAAAAAACCTAGCACAGCTCCAGGGGAGCCCTGAGCTAGAGAGAACGTGCCCTGAGGTCACCCTGCTTGCTCAGCACTCCTGTCTGGGAGCTCCGTCAAGCACTTAACAAGTGTGCACTAATTAATCCTGTTCCCCTCAGAGGGAGCCAGTGAGGCCCTGAGGGGTTAAGTGGCTTTTCCATGACCACAGCACAGCTCGGGCTGCAATGGGACCTGGCCCTTGCCGGCCCCTGGGCTCTGGGTGAGCCAGCAGAGAGCTTACCTCTGAGCTCTGAGCTCACCTCCGAGTTCTGGTGGCCTCTGGGCTCTCTGTCGGCCCACCTAGAGGCCAGTGGAAAGTCGATTCTCGCTGCTGCACACCACCAGACCCCGTTACACCCAGATGGGAAACCAGAGCTGTCAGCTCTGGCTATCACCATTGTCTCCAAAGGGCCATGTTCCAGACATCGGTCTTATCCCTTCTTGAGGCATCGCAGCCAAGTCAGCCTGATCCCAGGAAACCATCACTGCTCTCTCCCTGCTTTCAATTTCATCCTGCTCCTTCCTCCAGGCTGCAGGCCGAAAAAAGGGGCTTCTCAGAAGCTAAGCCTGACGCCCTCGCTCTCTTTCTTCTCAACTCTCCAAAATGAAGTTAAAAGTCTGGTCTCTGGAATCTCAGATGGCCCCATGGAGAGATCCCTCTTTTTACTGACCTGAGTTAAGCTAGTGAGGGGAAGGCTGACCACATCAGCCTTTCTGGATTGAGGTAGAAGCGATGCCAGCCTGAGTAGCATGGAATTAGATCAGGTGACTGCCAGGGCTCCCCCCGGTCCGAGGCAGAGAATTTGAGGGATACAGAATAGCAAACCCAACCTTCCTTCACCCAGACTGTTTCATCATGACCCACTCTGTCGCTTTTTCAGTATGAAGGGCAGTGCTAGTAATAATAGTAGCTGTGAGAGGCTGAATAATGGCTCCCCCAAAAGATATTCATGTTCTAATGCCTGGAACCTGTGAATATTACCTCATAGCAAAAAGATGGATTTTGCAGATGTGCTTAAGTTAAGGACCTTGAGATGGGAAGACTACCCTGAATTATCTGGGGAGGCCCAAAATGCAAACACAGGTGTCTTTACAGGAAAGAGGCAGATGGAGATTTGACACAGACAGAAGAGAAGGCAAGGTGAGCATGGAGGCAGAGACTGGCACCATGCAGCAACAAGCCAAAGAACCCCGGCAGCCACCAGGAGCCGGAAGAGGCTAGGAATGGACTCTCTCCTAGAACCTCCAGGAGGGAGCACAGCACTGCGGACACGTGGATTTCAGTCCGGTGACACTAATTTAGGGCTTCTGGCATTCAGAACTAGGAGAGAATAAATTTCTGTCATTTTAAGCCACCCAGTTGGTGCTAATTTGTTATAGCAGCCACAGAAATGAATGCGGTAGCTTGCACTTAATGATCGTCCACTCTGTGCCAGGCGCTGCTCTAAGCATCTTACCCACATTAGCTCATTACCTCCTGGCCGTGGATGTGAGGCCTGAGCTGAGCAGACACACTGCCTGGATTCGAATCCCAGATTCACTGCTTACTGCTGTGACCCTGAGCAAGGTATGTAACCTCTCTAAACCTCTGTTTCCCAAGTCATAAAATGGGTCTACGGTTACCTTTCTCATTGATTTGCTAGGATAATAAAATGGATAATAAAAGTAAAGTGCTTAGAAGGGCACATAGTAAGCACTCAATAAATGCCAGCTATTATGAGATCTCAGGGATGGAGGAAGCCAAAATTAGAGCATCTGCCTCATCTGTCAGGACATGGGCAAGGCCGCCTGCATCCAGTGTAGGAAAAAGATGTCCCTTTAAAGCCAGTTCAGTAGCAAATACGACCATCTGAGGAGTGCAGTTAAGTATTTCTTCCCTTAATTAAGTAATTTAGGTATTTTATGCTGGCCTCACTTCAGAGAAGGCAGATGCCTAAGACTGAGGTAATTCTGCATCATTGCCCAGCAGACTTCTCGGCCCCTACCTCTCGTTCTTAAGAAGAGCTATGCACAGCCATCATCCATACGAAGGACGGAACTTGCAGCATCCACACCTGACACACCCCTGCAGAGCCCACCACATCTTGTCCCTGTAACTCTGCCACCAGGAACCGGAGCCCCAGGGCTTGGAAGTCAGTGGGGAGGCAAAAATGTGAGTCCATTTTGTGGCCACTCCAACCTGCCCCAGTAGGTTGCGGGGAATGATAAAATAAGGGGCTTCCTTTGATTAGGAGGTTATAACCAAGTTAGTAAAGAATAAACAAGGTTTGCCCAGAGGTGGCAGAAGGGAAACCAGAGCTATCACCTGAAAAAAGGGGGAGAAAGAAAACTTTTATTAACTTGGCCCTTTCTGATAAAGTTTGCCCCAGCCCCCTTTCAGGTGATGTAATTTAAAGAAGCAGCACCCCACAGGATCCCATGCCATGTGTCCCCACCTAAGAAATCTGCACCTGAGTAATTAACCAAGGGAAGGGTATGGCCACCGAGCCTTGGCTTCCTCCTCGGCAGGGTTCCAGCCCCACAGTCCTGGATAAGCAGCGTCAGAAGACTCCTGCTGCTGCTGCTGCTGCCTTGTGCTGGCTCCCAGGCCTCTTCCCAGCAGGCTGCAGGGGCAGCCACCTGCGCTGTCTGCCCTTGTCTACCCCATGCTCCAGCTCCCCCTCCTTACTCTCAGGCACCCACAGATTTCTGCGCTGCCGTCACCACTGACGAGAACCCAGGTCCCCGGAGAAATTGCTGCTGCTTCTCATTCCATCCTCCCTATCAATGAACACGCAGCAACACCCACGTTCCCGCTCCTCCTACTCCGGAGGGAGACCAAACCAGAGAGACATCCGGAGCTGGAAGCCGCTGCAGAGGGAACGCCGGCCTCCCTGCCCCGCTGTCCCTTGCCCTTTCCCAGCCATCAGAGGATCCCAAGCCAGTGCAGCGCTCCGGATCGAGAGGGTGCCTGAATCCACTATGGGGCCCCGCCTCCCTGGGGGATCGGCGCTGCAGACCTCCAGGAGCCCGCGAGACACCTGCTTAGCCCCATCCGCGGAGGCCAGGCGCTGGGCACGGTACCCGAGACTCGAACCTGGTGCTCTCGCCCTTAGGCATCCCTCATCCTTAGGCATGCCTCACCTTAGACATCCCAAGCAAGCCCCCAGCCCAGCGCTCGGGCGCGGCGTCTTCCCTTGCATCCCCGCCCGCAGGAGACGAATCCCAGGCTGCCTGCGCGCCCATCCTGCCCCCAGCAGGTCGTGGGCAGCAGGGAGCGCGCCGCCTGGGAGGCAGGCGCGGGGAGGCGAGCCGGAGCGAAGCCGAGGGCCGGCGCGTGGGGCGGGAAGGGTCGCGAGGGCTGCGAGCCGGCCACTTACGCGCGCGCTCTGGGGAACCCCATGGAGAGGAGCACGTCCAGCGCCGATCCATGCTTGATGGTGCCAGGGCGCTGCTGGCGGTTCCTCCGCGGGGTGACTTTGCTGTACAGCTCCTCTCTCGCGGCCATGCCGAGCGGGCTGGGGTGGCCGTACTGAGCCATGGCTCAGCGGCCAGCCATCGCCGGGGAAGGCACCCGAGCCGAAGCGTCCGGGAGGAGGAGGGAGCCGGCCTGGGGCAGGGGCACGGGCTCGGGGACGGGGAGCTGGGCGGGAGGCGGCGGCGGCGGCAGCGGCGGGGGAGGCGGCGTTCGGAGCTTCCCCAGTGTCGAGACTGACGCTTCCTGGTGAGGCCACCGGTGCCAGAACGGCCCGCGAGCTGCTTCTGCCGGACCAGCCGTCAGCTGCTCGGGCCCCCGGGTGCCCCCAGCGCGGCGCCTGCAGCAGCCCTCTCTTCTCCGCCCCCTTCCTTCTCCTCTCCTAGCAGTCCGGGAATTTGCAATGAGTAATTTTTGAATGGATCAAAAAGGAAAAGGAGCCTTGTGGGCTGGCCCTGCCTTGGCTGCACCCGGGCCCCGCCCCTCTCTTAAAGCGGCAGCGCTGCCGAAGGCCGCTAGAGGCCGGGAACAACCTTATAGACGGCGCTTCTAGGCGGAGGATTCGAACCGGCGAAGTCTGCCTGTGTGTGTTGGTTGCGGAGAGTCATTCCCAGCGCCCCAACCTTCTCCATGGCTTGCATATAAGGCCAGCAGGGCCTCAAGACACCAGACGAACCCATTTCAAGTTTCACGTCGTTCCAGATGGGGTTAATAATGGAAGTTGGGCGAACTGATGGTTGACATTAATGAACCAGAAGGCCAAGCCATAAGGAGCAGATACAAGGTTTTGCTTCCTATAGACCATGCAGAACCCAGAGGATTATTATGGGCCTTGGAGACCAAGTTTCCCTCAGCCGCCAAGTGGCTACACTGAAGACTGACCGTGCTCTCCAGACTGAGAGAGTGCCTTCAGGGCAAAGAGGGCCACCCGTGACTCTCAGGCCTGGGAGGGTAC